CTACTTGAAACTGGAGCCTTCCTGAGCTTCATATCCTCAGGTATGCCATCAGTGCCCTGGAAGGGATTTCAAGGAAAGAAGCCTTGGGACCCTGAGATCCTGCCCCCTTGCTCAGCTGAGTAGTGCCCTAGCTGGAGATCAGTAGAGCAGAAGGGTGGAGCATGTTGTAAGGAATGAAACTATTATTAATATCCCTTCCTTGTAGACAAATAAGGAGACTGTTGAAGAATTTATAGCTGTCAAAGAGAGGTTTTTGCATGAAGGAAGCTGAACTTGCAAGCTCTGGAGATTTCATCTTTCCCTATACAACTGTCCACAGCTCAAGACACAGATGTGGCAACTTCTAAAGGGTCATGACCACCTGCAGGATGAGTTTTCCATCTTCTTTGACCATTTGCGTCCTGCAGCTAGCTGGATGGGTGACTTTGAAGAGGTCAATTGGACTGAGGAGAAAGAGTATGAGGTGTGGGCCCTGAGGCTGCAGGAGGCTTATAAAGAGGGAAGGCCACATGTGGGGGGATAGCAGCCCAGAGTTTGTGTTGAGCGGTACCATCTCCTCCCCCAGTTTGATGGCTTTGAAGAAGTGGCATTACCTGATGTGGAAGAGGAAGAAGAACCTGCCAAGATATCCACAGCCTCAAAGAACAAGAGAAGAAAAGAGATTGGGGTCCAGAATCATGATAAGGTACACTGCGCGGTTTGTTGGGGATTCTCCATTTTATTCAGAGAAAGCCTTGAGCTGTCTCTCTATAAACATTTCTCTGCCTTGGATAAGCTTCTGTTTGATGGGAACTGAGATAATGCTAGAACAGGAATCAAGAGTCATACTACTATGGAACATGCGGAAACTGCAGCAGGATAGCACAGTTGCTTATTGACCCCTAAAATATTTTGAGTAGAAGCAATTGTTTTGACCTTTTCTCTACCGCACAACTGTTTCTCTGTTTCATTTTTATGTGAGAAAAATAGGACCAAGTTTCCCTATATTAGCAATAATGATAACAGATAGTACTTACTGAGTTTTCATAAACAGTCTTTCATTTTAAGTATTTTGCATGAATTTTAATTCTCATAGTAGTCCTAGGAAGAGGTTGCTATTGCTTATATTTACACAAGAGGAAACTGAGGTGCATAGCGTGGCTATTGCTTGGGTCTCATTATTTAAAGAGGCAGTGCTGGGATATGAACCCAGGTATTCTGGCTCCAGAGTCTGTCCTCTTACTGCTGCTCTCCATTGCTCTTCAAGAAGTAGCTTCTATAATCCATGTCTGTCTCCTACATGTCTTTACTCTTGGGTAGAAACTGCTTCTTAGTAACTGAATGACATTGGGGAATTTATTTAACCTGTTTCAGTTTCATCATAAATGGCAATAATAATGGTCCTATGTCTTGGGTTTGTTAAACAGAGTGTCATTGGTTGAACCTTCCATATGTATAGAGCCCTCTCTCAAGGGCATTGGAAGAGGGAGAGCTCAGGGTACAGGGAGACAGAAACAAAGACAGACGAGTGAGTAGACCATACCTCATGGTGAAGCTCGCCAGTGACTTTGCCTCAGGTTGTGTTCAGCTTAAATAGTTTTTGAAACACTTGGGCAACTGTGATACGTTATTCTTTTGGTCACGTATGATTGTTTCAGGGATTTGATAGGCTTTGATCTAGTCTGGGCCATTGATTTCCCCAGGCACTGTCATGAGATGGTATGCAAGAAAAATGATTGGGGTATAGCTTACTCAGATGGCTAATCAGGAGACTGCATTTTTTGGTACCAGGATGCTTGACATCTAATTAACTCTGAGTATCTTCTAGGAGACTGAGTGGCCAGATGGCACAAAGGACTGTGTCTGTTCCTGTCATGATGGGGGTCCTGAGTCAAAGCTGAAGAAGAACAAAAGGAGAAATTGTAGCCACTGCAGCAAGGTGAGAGAACTGGGACAGAGGTGCTATCAGAGCTGTTTGGGGCACCCCCAGACCTTCCTGCGGGGGATTATTTGCTAACCCAGGCTTGTACCTCACTAAATTCATAAAAAGATTACACTAAAATAATACACAATACATACACACTTATGTAAAATAGTCTTAAAAAAATATACGAATGCCTTTTGCTTTTTAAATAGAATCTTTTGTATAAAACTTTTGGAATTGGAAACAGATTAACCCACTTAAAATATTTTTGTCTTAGATATTTTTGGTTTTGAATGACAACCAGTGTTAAGGACACATTTGTCCTCTGGAGTGAGGTTTATCAGCAGCAAAAATACAGTGCTATCAGAAGGGTCCAGAATCCTCGTGTGGCACTTTGGGTTAATGCGCTGGACTGCAAGGTCAGTTTGAATCGCAAGGTTGGTGGTGGTTCAAGCTCACCAGCTGCTCCTTGGAAACCTTATTCAGGGTTACTATGAGTTGGAACCACTGATTCGATGGTACTTAACCAACCAACAAAATCAGAAGGGTCCAAGGACGGCTCTATTCTGGACCAATTTAAAATGTTGGACTAGGCTTTGTTGGTTGGCAGGGCTTCTTCCTTTGGTGGCTCTTGGATACATAGGTCAGGAGACCCTTGACCCAGATCATTTCTGCAGGTCTGTGATAGCAAATCCTACAAGAGCAAGGAGCCTCTTGAATTGGTGAGCCCCCATGGAGAAGCCAGTCCCATGCCTGGTGCCAAGGACACTGGACAGGGCAAGGATGTGGTGGAGGACGACACCCCAGAGGAGCGGGAGAGCACAGAGGCAACTCAGAGTAGGACTGGAAGGGCCACCAGAAAAGGAGAGATGCCTGTGACAGGTGAGTGATCTGCCTGTCCCAGCTTCCCAGGCCAACCAAGGTCTTATCTCTTTCTCCTTCTCACATATTTTAAGCCAGACCCTGTTCATGCTTGGATAAATGTCACCCTTTGCAGGACTGTCTTTCCCTGACAGACCAATAGGAAATTCTTCTCCTATGCTGCATACATTTTTCTTCCCTGTGACCTTTTTCAGAAGTAAGTGCTATAAAATATCCATGATTCAAGAGTTCTCTTATGTTCCCACTCCTGAAATCCATTCCATCCCCAAGTCCTCTTTGATCTGGATTCTAAAGATCTGTGCTCTCAGCCTGGCAGAGTAAGTTTCATCTTCTTCCAGTTAGAAGTTTTTCAAAATAGCTCACCAGAGTGGTCCTGTGATAACTGGTAGTCTTTATTGCCTCTTGACCCTATCCATGTCCTTATTTCCCCCATAAGCAGGATTGGCAGTAGGGAACACTTTGCTGTCCCCTCGAGAAGTGACTCTTACAGACCGACTCCTCCTGGATGGCCCACCACCTTGTTCACCAGAAACTCCTCAGCTTTCTCCGCAAACTGTAAGGAAAAATCAAGCTGGGCCAAACATCACCTCCTGTGCCAAGGCCTCCCCCAAATCTCACAAAGAAAGGGAGGGCCATAAGGCAGTGGGCGAGTCAGAGACTTCAAGGCTTGACTGGGATGCTTCAGAAACTGAGAAGTTGCCAGGAACTGTTGAGCACTCTGCTTCCTTCCCGAGTCTTGTTTCTTCGGAGACCAAGGACTTAGGGAGAAGACAGCTGTCTGGGAAAGCAGACACTCAAGAGAGCTGGCTGCCCTCAAGCATAGCTGGAGTGAAGAGAGCAGACAGTATATCCCCTGTCCATGACTCTTCATCAGGAATCAACACCTCAGAGACTTTTCCTAAAGGCCTTAGAGGGAGTTTGTCTAAGGACAATGGAATGCAGAGCAAGGGCCAAGAGGGGGAGCAACCACCAAAAGCCACAGAAGCTACTGTATGTGCCAACAACAGCAAGGTCAGCTCCACTGGGGAAAAGGTGGTTCTGTGGACAAGGTAGGTAAGATTGGTGTGTGTCTGATGGAAAGAGTGTAATACACAACCATTAGGATTAATCATGATCTGTGGGTTACAGGGAAGCAGACCGGGTGATTCTCACAATGTGCCAGGAACAAGGAGCACAACCACAGACCTTTAGTATCATCTCCCAACAGCTGGGAAATAAGACCCCTGCTGAGGTAAGTGGTGGGGGTAAGCACTGCCAGAGCTTCAAGCCCCTGAGGAACCAAGACCTGACAAAATAGTGTAGTAAAGAGTAGAAAGACACAAGAGTTTTCATATATAAGATGTTAAAAAAGGAATTGTCAGCTGATAGTGGTTCTAAGAGAAGACAAAGGGCATTGGATTTAGGGGTAGAAATCCCCAAAGGTTCTATTCTAGTGTTTTGGTGGAAATTTGACTTTGGGCAAATTATTTCACCTCTTAATCAGCCTCAGTTATCTATAAGGAAGACACTGCCTTTTCCACCTTGGTGTGTGGAATGAGTCATTTGCTAGTCATGCTGGTATATAGTGCTAATGAATGTTAAAGCAGGCCCTCTTCCTCTCCTCTCAGGTTTCCCACCGTTTTCGAGAGCTCATGCAGCTCTTCCACACAGCCTGCGAGGCCAGCTCCGAGGACGAGGATGATGCAACCAGCACCAGCAATACAGACCAGCTCTCTGACCATGGGGACCTTCTGTCTGAAGAGGAGCTGGATGAGTGACTTTGTGAAGCTGTGGCTATCATCTGCACAGGACCAAACCCAACAAGGGACTGGATATTGAGGGAGAGGTGGCTGTACTTCGCTTGTCCAACCCCTGGGCTCCTTTTACAGAGCTGGAAGCAGAGGGCTGAGGACAAAGATAGTCAGAAGTCAGGCTGGGCGCTTGAGTAGGGCTCAGAGTCCAGGCATCCTATGTCTCCTTTTGTGAAGACCTGAAAATCTACATTGTAAATAGCATTGCAGAAGAAGGGGGTTCTGCTCTTTCTCTCCTTTTGCTTTTTTTTTTTTTTTGGTCAGGTGGTACGTTATTTATTGTTCTGTGATCTAATCATGTATTTCTAAGTGTAGTAAACACATTTGGTGTAGCCAGTCTGAGACCCTGAGCTCCTCTTCCCCATGACACTAAGCTGCATCCAGCAGTTTTTATTGGAAGCTAGCTTTCCCTCACTTTAGGAACTTTAGTCCATGAGGCCTTCGCTGTCCTGGTAGCACTGGGCCAGGCTGTACAGCTCCTGCAGCACCTCCTCGAGATCATCCTGTTCCACTCCAGCAGCCATGAAGCTGGCCCAGCGCCGCAAGTCCAGTCTGCTGAGCTCTTTAGCCAAGCCTCCCAGGGTCTGGTGCAAAGATGAAGACGAGCACAGGGCCCCAAATACTGGGATGCTCTCTACTGCTGTGGAGAGAAGTGAGACCTGTGAGTGGGCTGTTACTCCATGCTGGGTCTCGGCACAAACAGGAGTTTCGGGCTCCATGTCTCTAGTCCAGGTCCTTGGTACACCAGTGCGCCAGAGAAAGAAAGAATACTTCTCTCAGGAGCCGTAGGGGCCAATAAAATCATGTGTCCCTGGGCGTTTTTAAGCACTGATAATGAGGTAGGGAGACAGTTAACTCTCTTCTGTTCTGGGACTGGTTTTTTTTGCACTGCCTACTGGTATGCGCTGTGGGTTAATGTGCCAGACTGCAAAGCCATCTGAACTGTAAGGTTGGCGGTTCAAGCTCACCAGCTGCTCCTTGGAAACTCTATACAGGGTCAGTATGGGTCAGAACTGACTCAGTGACACTTCACAACAACAGCCTACCTGCATCAGTAGGAGAACCATCCAGAACCAAACCCTGCTGGCTGAGGCTTGAGGAGAAGAGGTATGGATAAGGAGGAACCACTTTGCAAGGAGTCAGCAGCAGATGAGAAGAACTGTGGGGGCAAGCAGATCAAAACTGAGCAGAAAGTCAAGGGAGTCTGGGGCGGAAGCAAGCATTATACTGACCTCACAGCGCTGGGCTGCTGCTGCTGTAAATACTGGGCCAAGACTTCTTCCCCAGTGGCACAGGCATGGAGTGGGGAGGGCAGAGCTGTCCCTGGGGTGAGCTGACTGTTACAACAAAGCCAAAACAACCTTTAAACTGTGCCAGCAGCAATACGAGACTAATTCTTGTCCCAAACCATCAGCTGAATCAGGATACTCAGATGCTTCCCATTCCCCACACTACCTTCCCCCTACCTAGTAGAGTATGGGAAGACGTGAGAAGCAGTGCTGTTATACAAAGCAGAGAGGGCCTCCGGAGCAAAAACCAGAAATTAGACAAGGCCCACAAAGACCTGCAGTCCTCACCTGGTGTGGCGTGCACCCTCTATGCCCCTCAGCACCACAGACTGGGCAAAACAGCGTGTCCCAGATGGGTTCCCACATGCAGACAGTGGGGTCCATGGGGTGGCTCCACCAAGCTGCATGAGGGTATCAGGAAGGGACTGGCTTGAAGGGAAAGGAATGGTGGCGCCTGCTGTCACCATCTAAAAGCAAGGATGAGATCAGGTCACACAGCTTTTTCTCAGCTCTGCCCCTCGCCCTCTCAAACCTCCATACCTTTTTTCCAGAGAAACTCAGCATATCAGCCAGATGGACCATGGACACTGGTGAGGAGCGTAGGCGATAAGGGACAGTGAGTGTATCCAGGGCGGTAGCTAGGACAGCACTGCAGTGAAAGGGCATGGTGGCCTGTAAAGGGGCACCGAGAGGAGTACTTGGCCTTTCAGGCCTGAAAAAGTCAATGTGGAGGAAGAACAGTAACAGCAGAGGTTTGGTGCTAAGTTCAGCCCGGCTTTAAGGCCCAGACAGTATAGTAACACATACAGGCTGACTGGAGGAGGATGAAGTGGTGCTTTGTGGCCCGCTACAGTCAAAAGAGAGCCTTACATCATAATGCAGGTGTGGAAAGGTGACAGGTGGCTCAGGCCGCAGTCCTAGGCTCCCACCCAAGGATAAGGGGCAGACAAGTGAGCTGTGAGCAGCCAAGTGCACCAGGCCAAAAGCTGTGTTTAACAGCCGGTAGATATTCTTCTGGGGCTCCTGGGGAGAAAATAGCAACTAATGTGTGAGACTGTCATTCTCTCATTTCTCCCTGTCCACCCTGATGGCTTTTTTCCAAGTTGTACTCACCCCAAGACTGTATGGAGCAGGGAGCAGGCCCCAGGCTATTATGCCTCGCCCTGAGTACTCATCCTGTAGCAACTCTGTGGTCTTAGCACCTACCCCAGAGAAGCCATCATGCAGGTCACAGAGGATCTGGAAACCCTGGAGAAAGAGGGCAAAGATGGAGGACAGCAGAGAACAGGAGAAGGGTTTCCATCTTGGAGTCCACCCTGGCACACAGTTACCTGAAGGTAGTCACACTCCTCCACGTAGAAGTGCAATCTGTCCTCCAGCTCTTCCAGGTACCCAGGCTCCTTCAGGATACTCTCCCCTTGGCCAAAAGCCTCTAGTCGACCTGTCTCCCTGCCACATGTAAACATGACCCAGCTCTGAGAGATGGGAGATGGCAACCCCGCCCTCACTCCTAGATCTTTGTTTTGGAGGATGCAGTGAGGATGACCTCCAGAGTCTCATCTTGCATTGGTGAGGACACAACTTTTTCTGCCACACAGACTCTGGGGCCCACGTACCCATCATGGTTGTACTTGTGAATCATACAGATGCTTCGGGGATGGAGAGGGACACGGAGGAAATCTGACCAAACTCTGATGCTGCCCTCTGTGGGGGTGGGTGATGTGAGCATTTTACAAGTGGTGAATGGTAGGGCACCTGAAGACAAAAGCAGAGTTACTGTATCTTTCTCCATGCTCCTGTCCTAACTAGTTCCCCATCTGGTGCTATTTGGAGAATTCTCACCTTTGCCATTGGGAATAGACTTAACCCTCCAGATATCATCACTATTCAGCACTCCCTGGAAAAGGGTGAGAAAAATCTGCATAAGTTACATGCATTTGGGGTTTCTTGGTCAGATTCCACAGCTTCCTTTCTGTTTACATAAACACAGCATCTAATACTTTCTCCTCAAATACTATTCTAAGGCATTTAAGGTGCTCAAATTCCTTTCCCCATCCCCTCTGTCCTGGTAGGGACAATTTAATGCTGGTTGGAGCACTGGGTTGAAAAGTCAGGACAGGGGTCCTCACCTCTGCACTCAGCAGGTCCTGGAGATAAGGATTCTTAGGACAGAGTTCCTCTTTGTGTGTGGTGAGCTTCCCCTGCCTGAGAGAGATGAGAGGTTGATCATCAGGACAACTTTCCTGAACTCTCCAGCTTCCTGGGCACACACCTTCCCCATCCTTCACCATACCAAGCAAAAACCCACCATGCTATTGCAGCATCTAGCTTGTCTCTGTAGAGTCCACCTTCTTGTTTTAAGGAACTCAGACTACCTGTACAGACATAACACAGGTCAATGTCCTGGGAGTCACGCCCCCATTCCTCTTCCGTTGTTCTTGACAACCTGCTGTCATCATCCCTCCAGCATTTGACCCTTCCAAGAAACTTCATTAGATATGCATGAATTAGGGGGGGAAAGTCTTGTCTAGGAGAATCTAGATCCCATATGTCCATTCCCTGTTCAGTCATTAGCATTAGGGCTCAAGACAAAACCTCCACCCAGCGTTCCTACTGGAGGGCTGCAGTTCAGCATCGCTGAGATGCTCGGTGCAAGAAGCCTGCTCTCAGGCGAAATACACGTGCCCCTTCCTGTGTCCCCCGGGTGCTTGCACACTGCTTAGCTCCCCTTGGCTCCTCATCTCTGGCCCTTAAGGCTAGTACGGTCGGAGGAGCTTGAAGTGAACGGATACTGGAGACACGCGAAATGGAAAAACTAAGCGTCTGCTAACCCCCGCTTCCGCCTCACCCTTCAGATCCATGAGGATGAGTCGTGGTGTGTAGGTGTCCTGGCCGTGCAAGGTCTGGCCCGTCCGGTATAGGACGTCGGGGCACAGCTCTCCTGGCAGTTCCTTGGCGTCATTCGTGCGGCCCAGAGCAGCATCCTGGGGAGACACAGAGGGAGGACTGGATTCAGGAAAAAAGCTGGAATTCAGAGCTGGAGACCCCGAAAAGCTCCGCTGGGGCAGCCCCTGGAAAACCTTACCTGCTGGTTCCACCAGTGCGCTCCCACGAAACCGGCAAAATGCCCCAACTGAAGCGTAAGTACCTCTCGAGCCCCGCCCGCCATACCGCTCGGCTCGGCGCGGCCACACCGCCCTTGCCTGCACTGGATGCTCCTTGCCGATTGGTTTGATAAGCTTGTGGGTGGGGCCCCAGTCGCTACGCCCTATTGGTCCAGAAGCACATCCTTTCCCAAAGGACAAACGATTTGTTGAGTTCAAGAGACACCGCCCATCGTTCTCTCCCCTCTTCTTGGAGTGGACTAGTCCCGCTTCCCGATCGTTGGCGGTAGGGGCGGGGCCACAGGGCCCACGCCGGAAGTCGTGTGTGCCTAAGCTCCGAAGCGGTAAGCTGGATAGGTCATCAATTCCCTTGGCGTAGCTTCAGGGCCGCTTCCTGAGGTTCTCAGAAGGGGCTCCTACTCTGTATTTCTTTTTGTTTTTTTCCAACAAGATGCCATTCTTCTTTGTCATTATAACTTTGTTGGCTAAGAGTTCGAAACAAAAGTAAAATCTTGTCAGAAAGGTAGAAGTTACCCAGAAGTGATTTGTGAGTTTTCTTTCTCACTAATCACAGCTATCCTGACTCATGTCCTGGTAGTGTAGTGGATTATTATCTGGGATGCTACCTCAAGGTCAGTAGTTCCAATCTACCAGTCGTTCCGTGGCAGAAAGATGAGGTTTTCTGGTCCCATATTGTCTCAGAAACCTGTAAAGTGTCACTATGAGCCGGAATCGTCTCGGTGGCACACAACCACCTACTACCTGGCTTATAGCCTGTGGACTGCCTTTTTTTTGTTTTTAAAAGTAATTAATAGTATATTAATTTTGCTCTCACTGAATAATAGCCCCATTATGGTTTATGAAATTCATCCCTGTTCTTGTATTTACCTATTTTCATTGCATTAGGGTGAATACATACCACAGATTGTTTTGCTGATAGACGTTGGGATTCTTTCCCAATTTTGGGTTATTAGGTCTACAATTAGCATTCTTAAGCACGTAAATATTTATGTGGAGGAGTGGGATTGTTTGGTTTTAAGATTGGGTATTCAAACTTGGTAACTAATACAAAGCTGTTTTCTAAAGTTGTCTTTTCGTTTAATTGTTAACTTCACTTTCCCTCAGCATTGTCATTTTTAGTACACAAGTTCTGTTTTAATATTTTATTGTGCTTTAGGTGAAAGTTTATAAAGTATATGCTTCTCATCCGATTGTTACACAAAGTACACCCTGATATTGGCTGCATTTCTCAGATGTGTCAGCAGTCTCCATTACCTCCGAGTTCTCGGTTTCCTTTTATCCAAATTTTCTACCCCTTTCTTCTCATCTTTGTTTTTGGGCAACTGTCCTTTTGATCTATGACTGACTATTCTGAAGAAAAAGTTCTTTGGTTTATTTTTTTTGTTTTTTTAATGAACCTATTGTTTGGCACTGAGGGTTAATGCACTGGACTGCCAAGGTCTGTTTGAACCACAAGGTCTGTGATTCAAGCTCACCAGCTGCTCCTTGGAAACCCTATACAGGTTTGCTATGAGTTGGAATGACTCAAAGGCACCTAACAGTTGTTTGGTTGAAACGTGTTCTACAGGAACGACGTCAGTACCAGGTCAGAAGGGTTTCTGTCTTAGGGCCATAGTCTCAGGAATTCCTCCAGCTTCTGCCAGACCACTCCTTTGGTGAATTTGAGGTTTGTCCGAGACCCTCTGATCCCAGTCAAAAGGGTCATTAGTGTTAGCTGGCATCATCTAGTTCTCCTGTAGGCTGTGGTTCAAGTGATTCATTAGCCCTTTTGACTAATTGCCCCCTTGGGTCTTTAGTTCCCCTCACTCTCCTTTGCACCTAATAGAAAGAGACCATAGTTGTACCATAGGTGGCCACTCAAAAGCTTCCCTCCCCCAGGCCTTTAAAAAAACTTTTTATTGTAAATTGAGTGAAGGTATATATATATATAGAGAGAGAGAGAGAGCAGATCATCGGTTTTATGTTCAACAAATCATATACTTTGCTTCATTACCATGATTATAGTCCCCTCCATGTACCAACAGTATTTACCTGTATTTACTTTAACTATTGCATTCCTCTCTGTGTCTCCCACTACTTTAATCTTTCCTCCACTAACCTCCCTCTTATTCTATATATTGGCTGCCCTGTCACCCATGTTAACATGTGTCTACCATCTAGCACTGGACTGCAAGGTCAGTTCGAACTGCAAGGTCAGCGGTTCAAACTCATCAGACGCTCCTTGGAAACCCTATACAGGATCCCTTAGTCAGAAGTGACTTGAAGGCACTTAATGACAAAGACTTTTCCCAAAACCATAGTATATTCTTTTATCAAGAAAACATTTTAACATTTTACAACATTGGTCTCATACAATATTCATCCTTTTGTGATTAACTAATTTCACTCAGTATGTCCTCCAGGTTCATCCATGTTGTGAGGGGTTTCACAGATTCATTGCTATTCTTCAAAGTTAGGTTGTATTCCCTTGTATATTATGTACCAGAGTTTGTTTAACCAATCTTCTGTTGATAGGTATTTAGGTTGTTTCCATCTTTTTGATATGTTTCTTGTAGACAGCATATTGAAGCATCTTGTTTTCTTATCCATTCTGCTCTGTCTCTTGACTGGTATATTTAATCCATTTACATTCAGTGTAATTATTGGTAGGTATGAATTGATTGCTGTCATTTTGCTGTGTTTTTTTTGTGGCTCTGCTGATGTCTTTGTTCCACCTAATTTTCTGCATTGAGTTTATTTTGTTTATGGGTTTTCTTTTCATTTCTGTTGTGTTAATGTTTACCAGGAGTCCTGTTGTGGTGCTGTGGGCTAATGCGTCAGATTGCAAAGTCGTTTGAACTTCAAGGTCAGTGGTTCAAACTCATCAGCTGCTCCTTGGAAACCTTATACAGGGTCACTGTGGGTTGGAACCGACTCAACAACACTTAACAACGTTTACTAGGAGACTTGGTGTGGCGCTGCGGGTTAATGTGCTAGACTGCAAGGTTGGTTTGAATTACAAGGTCGGTGGCTCTAACTCACCAGCTGCTCCTTGGAAACCTTATACAGAGTCACTGTGGGTCGGAACTGACTCAACGACACTTAACAACAACAACGTTTACTATGAGACTTGGTGTGGCGCTGCGGGTTAATGTGCTAGACTGCAAGGTTGGTTTGAATTACAAGGTCGGTGGCTCAAGCTCACCAGCTGCTCCTAGGAAATCCTATGCAGGGTCACTATGAGTGGAAACAGACTGGATAGCATTTAACAAAAACAACAGTGTTTACTACATCTTTCTGATTGTCCTCTTTTTTACTTAGATGTGAAGGTATATTAATTTTCTCTGCAATTTATTAATTTTTTCATTGTTTTTAGTCTGTTTTATCTTGAAATCTCCTTGGCTTCCTTGTCATTTGGAAGACCCTGCATACTTCTCCTACTTACCCAAATAGTGTGCAGAACATTACCTTTATAAACCATGTGCCAATTGACGTAGATGTCCTGCAAGTCTAGGATCCTTTACTTTTGATCCTAGGAACTTCGTCCTGCTGTGTATATTAATATGCACGCATCTGCTACAATTACATATGTAGAAATAGCCATAACCAAACCCATCTCTGCAGGTAGATGTGTTCGCTTACATCCTCCCACACATCTTATCTACCTATGTGTTGTTGTTAAGTGCTTTCAAGTCAGTTCCAACTCATAGTGACCCTGTATAGGGTTTTCCGAGGAGCATGGTAAGCTTGACCCACTGCCCTTGAGGTTCAAACCAACCTTGTAAGTCCAGTGCATTAACGCTCAACAACACAAATCATTTGTAAATCAATGTTAACACTGTTGTTACAGATCAGCTATTTTATCCTAATTACCAGTGGTGTTACGCATCATCTAGTGGGTTTTGACTCACAGCAACCCTGTATAGGATTTCTGAAGAGTGGCTGGTGGGTTTTAATCGTCCACTCTGTGGTTAGCAGTCTCGTGCTTATCCTATAGCACAACACCAGTCCTCTAGTAATTACCACTGCTAAGTGTCGTTGAGTTGGTTCTGACTCATAGCAACCCTGTGTAAGGTTTCTTAGAAGTGGTTGGTGGGTTTGAACTGCCGACCTTTCAGTTCAAACCCACCTTGTGCTCCACTACATAATTTCCAGTGCCACAAAAATAGTTAAGTGCTGTCTTGTTAGTTCTGACTCATAGCGACCCTGTGAAGCAGGGGTGGGGACCATTCAGCCTGTAGGCCCTCGAAATGATTTAGTCTGGCCCTGTCAAGGCAATCACAGTTACAGCCATGACATTCTTGTGCTATTAGTTGCCATGAAGTCGAGACCAGCTCATAGCAACCCTATGTACAACAGAATGAAACACTGCCTAGTCCTGTGCCAACCTCACAATAACTTCTATGTTTGAGCCCATTGCTGCTGCCACTGTGCCAATCTGTCTAGTTGGGGAGGGGGTCTCTTTTCTCCTCTTTTTCTCTGTCCCTCCACTTTACCAAATATAGTATCTTTCTCCAGTGACTGGTTCCTCCTGACAATATGGCCAAAGTATGACAGGCGAAGTCTGGCACCTGGCTTCTAAGGAGCACTCTGGTTGTACTTTTTCCAACACAGATTGGTTTGTTCTTTTCACAGTCCATGGTATTTTTAATGTTCTCCTCCAATACCATAAATCAAACACATCAATTCTATGATCTTCCTTATTCACTGTCCAACTTTCACATGCATATGAGGTTATTGAAAATATCATGGGTCAGGTGCACCTTAGTTCTCAAGCTGACATCTTTGCTCTTCAACACTTTAAAGAGGTCTTGTGCAGCAGATTTGCCTAATGCAGTACATCGTTTGATCTCTTGACTGCTGCTCCCATTAGTGTTGGTGGATGATCGAACAAAATGAAGTCTTTGACAATTTAAATCTTTTCTCCATTTGTCTTGATGTTATTTATTGGTCCAGTGGTAAGGGTTTTTGTCTTTTTGTATGTGTGTGTCTTCTTTACATTGAGATGCAACCCATAACTGAGGCTGTGGTCTTTCATTTTCATCAGTTAAGTATTTTAAATCCT